TATTAAGAAATGAGTATAATTGTGATGGATGTGTTACTTGGTTCAGTGTAAACATTTCACATTGTATATCGAAGCAGTACCCTGAACCCCATGAATGCATCAATGTACAAAGTTATGATTTAATAAAAAATAATTGTAAAAAAATATAGTATGAAATATATTTATTTACTGGTAACAAGTAGTAGGAACACTTCAGCCTTTTGAAAATATAAATTAACTTATTAGCTCTGCAATATACACCAGACTTGTTGCCAAAAGAATGTTTAAATAATAATTGGTTAATTATTTTGATATTGTTTTCTTCACAATGTCATTCACCATCATAAGAATTTGAGTGCACACTTTTGTGATGTTTTGTGGAAAGTGCCAGCGTGCCTCTCAGCTATAGTTTTGAAGATCTAGCAGCTAAACCTTTTAACCACTGCACATCTTATACTTCAATACTGTCCCTGCCTCTCATGAGTAATTCACTAAACTAGGTACCATTTCTCCACTTGCAGCAAATGAAGATAAGCTTATGTGAGTCTGTGTCTTTTAAAATATTTTCCTGGGTTATATTTTGTCTACTTTACAATTCAGGTTTCAAAATACTTCCAGTTTTAGCAAAAGTTTGGTGAGATTGCCATTATTCATCACTGCTTGAAGAAGGGTAGGCGAGTATGGTGGCTCATGCCTATAATTCTTGCACCTTGGGAGGCCATGGTGGGTAGGTTCCTTGAGCTCAGGAGTTTGAGACCAGCCTGAGCAAGAAGAGCAAAACCCCATCTCTAAAAATAGCCAAGCACATTGTGGCAGGTGCCTGGAGTCCCAGCAACTCGGGAGGCTGAGGCAAGAGTATCACTTGAGCCCAAGAGTTTGAGGTTGCTAGACTCGGCACCTGTGGCTCAAGTGGCTAAGGGACCAGCCACATACACCTAAGGTGGTGGGTTCGAATCCAGCCCGGGCCCACCAAAACAACAATGATGGCTGCAACCAAAAAATAGCCGGGCACTGTGGCAGGTGCCTGTGGTCCCAGCTACTTGGGAGGCTGGAGCAGGAGACTTTCTTGAGCCCAGGAGTTGGAGGTTGCTGTGAGCTGTGATGCCACGGCATTCTACCCAGGGGGACAGCTTGAGGCTCTGTCTCAAAAAAAAAAAAAAAAGAGTTTGAGGTTACTATGAGCTATCATGCAAGAAGTACTCTATCCAGGGTGACAAAATGAGACTATGTCTCAAAAAAAAAAAGAAATGTATAACTTTTTCTAGAATTATGTATTAAGAAATTTTAAAATATTCACATCCTTTGATTTCATTGTTTTATAAATCTAGAGCCAGGAAAATTTTGCATGTTGATCTATAACAAATATCTCTGGGTAGTGGAAATTATGAGGTTGTTTTCAGTTTCACATTCTTTTCTGTTTCTTACTGACAGTCTCCTAGTTTTCTTCCTATGTTTGCCCACTCTTCTTATATATTCTTCTCTGTCCTTCACTGCTTGAATTCTCTGAGTCTTAAATGGTCCCTAGAGAGAGGGAGTATATGGGAAATCTCCGTACCTTCAGCTCTTACTGCTGTGGACCTACAGCTGTTCCCACAAAAAGTCTCTCAGTACCACTTCCCAAGGTAGACAGATATATAAAAGGAGTGAGCAGTAGCTTCCAAAGAAGAGACTAAGATTTTGGGGGGCTAATATTTGGTTCATAGTAGATCTCAATAAATGTTTGTCAAATCATTTTATTGCTTCTACCAGGTGGCTAATAGCTTGACTGTGTCATAACATTTAATCAGGGAAACTACACAAGTATTTAATAAAACTAGATATTTCTATGGATAAATGAATTTTTCATGAACTGAAAATGTTTTTTAGTTAAATATGCAATTTTTATCCTTAGAATTATTATCCAGTTATTAAATAAGCTCTTTTAGAAAACCTCTTTGTAAGCTCCCAATGAGTAGACTTGTCACTGTTCCTCAGTATACTTTTAGCTTTAATATGTGATCTGTTGTTTATTTCTTTTATTGTGGTACAATGTCATTACTAATTTCTATAGATTTTTTAAAGTGTATGCTTAATTGGAGATCTCTTAATTGGAGATCTATCTTATTTCCAAGAATTTGTCTTGTTAATTAATTGTTTGAATTGCCTCTGTGCTTTAAATATCATATTTTATCTCATAAATTACCATAGTATCTATTGTGGTTGTGGCTATCTGCATTTTTCCACTGCATGTAGTAACATAGTTTAAATCCCTTTTCTTTCTCCTTTAGTGGTTCCCCCTGGAAGTCCTGGGCCTATTACTCGACACGGGTCTTATGACAGTTTAGCTTCTGACCATAGTGGACAAGAGGATGAAGAATGGCTTTCTCAGGTAAAATTCAGAAATATTTGGGTTATTAAAGTAAACAAAAACAAAAATTCACTGTTTTTATTCTTTTCCTTAGAGGCAAGTGGGGAAAACTGGTAACTCTGTTGAATCATCAAGAATTCATCAATTGCCTTTCCATATTACAAATTTCTCACGTGTTTTGCTGCAGCATACATATATATATATAATATGTGCTTTATCCATGTACACTGTGTATCCAAATGTTAGCTTTCATGGAGAGGGCATGAAATGCGCATATTTTTCACGGAATTCATTTAAAGCCCTTAGTACCCTGGAATTTAAATGGACTGTTTGAACATATTTTCACCTGGTTTTAAAAGAAGATTGGCCTTGTTAAAACAGTAAAGCCATTCACCAGTCTTTAGGATTTTTAGTGGAGCCAACACTTTCTGAAGATTGGGTTCATACTTCCATTAGGAAAATTCAGCGTTCTCCCTGGCAGAAGTTATGGTGGTACACAAATGGGTTTCCTTTCCTGAGCCCATGTCATGCTGTTTCCAGGGGCTTCTAGATCAACAACTACTTGAACTGTTCCTCCTCTTGCCAGGTGAAGTTGTTTTCATCTCAAAGGCTTTGAAAGTAAATGATCTTGGGCACATTTCAAAATGATGAGATTACAGATGACTTCATTAAAGCTGCTGTTATGTCTGTCTCAACTCTGACATCATTTTTGGAAGTTACTGACCTGTCTCAGATTACCAATCTTCCACTTCTCATCAGACAGGTGCCTCAGAAAAAGTGGAGGCCATTTGTTTTTTCAATGCTTTCTCAGGGAGGGTAGCCTGAAAAACGAAAGTAAATCTTGAATCTGAAGACTGAAACTATGTTTAGGTAACATACTTTGACTTTGTCATAGCAAAAATACTCACAGGAAGTTCCTTCAAGGAGAGTCGATACTCAGGTTCCTGGTGTATGGAGGTCCATCCTTTCTTGATAAGACCAAGATAAACCCAAAATGCGTGTGTTTTTTCCAAAATCAGAATGCTGGCAAAGAAACCACTGTCCTTCACTTTAACTTTTCAATTAGAAAAAGGGGTAATGTGTGCTGTCAGTGTGAAAGTATATACAATATGTTTGTCCTGCACACAACAGGAGAGTGAATAGGAACATCTGGCCATCGCCTCAGTGAAATTGCACAGGCATCTGTTTACCTCTCGGCTCTGTGACACTGACGGCTCTGAGCTTAAAATACACAGAGTGCTTTATCTGTGGCCTAATTTACATTGCTGAATACAACTACTTGAATCAGAAATCACTGTCCTCAATCTGAGTATTTTTCTTCCAGTGATTAGTGGGAAAGTGATTATTGTCCAAAGACCATGATGCTTTTGCCTTTTTGGACCCACAAACACAGAGCTACTTCTCTGTGAACCTTTTCTGTTATGTTTTATTAAGAATTAATCACCACAATCAGAAATGTGATTAAATATAAAAGAACTCAGGGCAAAAATAAGGTGTTTGGAAAGTTAACTCTATGATGTGTTTGCACAGACATGGATGTAGCAAAGACGTTAAATCGTGTTCACTGAGGGTGTGGGTGTTTAGTCTCTGATTTGAGTTGCTTATTTGTAAAATCAGGTAGCATGTATTTTCAGGTTTTGTCCAGCGTCCTCTACCCCCTGCCTCGTCTTTACAGTGTAGAGCTTTCTCTGTCACATCCATGGAGCATAAAATTCACAAACCTTTTTTTTTTTTTAATTTTTGTAAATCATTTTGGTATTACTGTTTTGCAGTATATAAAATGCCTGTGTCAATCCTGTGGCAATTGAGAAAACACTCTAAGTAATTGTATTCTGAAGGCAAAAATCTAGTTTGACAGAAAATATATAATAATTTCTTCATTTAAAAGTGGCTTTTGGGGGATTTTGAGGGCAGTATAGTAAATATTATAATATTTAATTGTGGAAAGAAATTGGATTTGGGTATTAAAATTATTTCAGACCTTTTCTTTTCCTTGGATAGTTCAAGAACAACTTCAAGTTTGTCATGAGCTTGATCCTCAATGAAGGACTTACTTTTAATCTGTGGATTAATAGGTGTAGTATTCAGTGCATGCCCACAACATGGTAAGTACTGTCTAGAATGAATGAAAAGCTTAGTCCCTAGGGAGCTCATATTAGTTATATGAGGCAGGCAACCGGTCCTTTTATTTTTATGTGATTCTTGTATTTTGGGTGTGTGTGCGTGTGCCTGTGTGTGGATGTGCAAAATGTATTTTTTCTTTTATGTTGATGACGATCAGTGGAGGGACTTGTGAATGTCTACATAGGCTGTGACTTTCATTGTCTCTTGACTGTGGGTGCCCGTTCCCTCTCCCACTTTGTTAAGACGGGGTTATTGGAGAATGTGGGTGTTGAGAGAAGGGATGGGGGATTGTGAAAGGATCTCAGATTGAGTCATAATACATTTAGATCATGATTCTTACTTTGTTCCAGGTTGAAATTGTAACGCACACTGGACCCCACAGACGTCTATGGATGGGTCCACAGTTCCAGTTCAAAACCATCCATCCCTCAGGCCAAACCACAGTCATATCATCCAGTTCATCTGTGTTGCAGTCTCATGGTCCGAGTGACACACCACAGCCCCTTTTGGATTTTGATACAGATGATCTTGACCTCAACAGTCTCAGGTAGGAAGTAAGAACTAGCGTGTGGTTTGAATGACAGGACTTGTGTATTTGTTTGAAATGAGCATCGTATGTAATATCATGTCACAGAATACATGTACTATTATGGATGATTCACTGCCGTTACTTGGAATCTCATGTGAGATTGTATTACATGCAATAAATATTTGTTTTTCTAATTGTATTTTCCCTAAATCTAACATTCAGTATACTTTTCAAGCCATTACAATTTATGATGCTTTGGTTATATTGCTTGAAGTATGACTGCTTAAAGTATGATTACATCCTCTTTTCTTGATTCTTCTAGTTAAATTTTATCTAATTCAATTATCTTTTTGGATTTTCAAAAATTTTGCCTGGAAGTTTTCGTATAAATTGACTTAGACTTTACCATTTTCATAATATGCATTCTTGCACCCTTACTTGTAAGAATCACAGTATGAAGTATGCTTTTTATTATTATCCCCCCCTTTGTTTTTGAGACAGAGTTTCATATCGTCCTGCATAGAGTGCTGTTGAATCATAGCTCACAGCAACCTCCACCTCTAGGGCTCAGGCAATCCTCTTGCCTCAGTTTTTCTCTTCTTTAGTAAAGACGGGGTTTCGCTTTTGCTCAGGCTGGTCTTGAACTCCTGAGCTCAAGCAATCCACCCGCCTCGGCCTCCCAGAGTGCTAGGATTATAGGCATGAGCCACCACACCCAGCCTCCCTTTTTTTGTGCAACAGAGTCTGACTCTGCTCTTGGGCTTAAATAATCCTCTTGCCTCAGCCTCCAAAGTAGGTTGGACTACAGATGTATGCCACTATGCCCAGTTAGTTTATTTTTTTTTCCTATTTTTAGTAGAGGTGGGGTCTCATTCTTGCTCAGGCTGGTCTCAAACTCCTTAGCTCAAGTAATCCACTCACTTCAGTCTTCTAGAGTGCTAGGATTACAGACATGAGTCGCTGCACCCTACCTCCTGCACACTTCTTCACAAATAGTGGGAAAATGTATTCCAATACCATGTTGGAAATACATTTTTATCTGTCTCATTGTTAACAGCAATAAGAATTTTTTTTTTTTTTGAGGCCGAGTCTTACTCTGTCACCCTGGATAGAGTGCCGTGGTGTCACAGCTTGCAGCAACCTCAAACTCTTGGGCTTAAGTGATCCTCTTGCCTCAGCCTCCCAAGTAACTAGGACTACAGGCGCCCGCCACAACACCCAGCTATTTCGGGGATTTCTGCTTGCAGTTGTTTAGCTGGCCTAAGCCGGGTTTGAACCTTCCACTCTCAATGTATGTGGCTGGCGCCATGACCATTGTGTTACAGGTGCCAAGCCAGCAATAACAAATTTTTATAATAAAAGTTACTGCCAGGTTTGATTATGCCTAACATATATATATCTTTTTTTTTATCTTATCTATTAGCCATTTAATTAGGTTCTTTTTAAGAAATTTAAAACACCATTTTATGAGGGTAAGCTCCATTTGTCAGAGCAAACATGGATCGCAGGTAGCCTGGGAGCTGAGGAACAGCCTTGATTTTTGGTAAAATTTGCGAGTCCACAGCTTTTTGCTCAACCTTGCGCTGTTCTGTTATCTCGTATTTCTCTTTTTCTGTGATGAAGATCTCATCTTCCTGGTGTCTGGGCTTCTGGAGCTGCTTCTTTTTGAAATAAGCATCAGTAAGATGCTTCGGGATTTTAACATTACTGATGTCAATTTTTGTGGTGGTGGCAATGACAAATTTCTGGTGTGCCCTTCGTAAAGGAACTCGATTGAGGGACAAAGGTCCAGTCACAAGGAGCAAGCCACTGCCCAGTTGCTTTAGGAAAACCACTGTCTTGCCTCTGTGGCACCCAGTGAGGATAATTAGACCAGTCCCAGTGTGATGCTGGATCGCAGTTTTCTCACATGCTGAGTAAATGGTTTTTTGCCGTGGCTTAATAGCTTTCGAGGCACATCTTCGGTGGGATAGTGTCTAGGCATTTTGTGAAGTTTAACAACCCAAGTACCACCATTCATGTCCCCACCAACTGGTTTTGTAACAGTGGCAAGGACCTTCGCCTTCTTCTTTTCAATCTTGGATTTAGCTGCTGTGTATTTCCTCTTATACATCGCCTTTCTGGAATACGTGGCAGATCGGGAATATCTGCCTATTCCTCTGACCAGCACAGGATTTCGGCTGCAGTGGGGCATCCCCTTCTTGGCCTTAGGCTTCTTCTTTTTATTAACAGATTTCTTCTCTTTAGAAACTGGCTTCTCTTTGGAAAACGGCTTCTCAACTTTTTCAGCCGCCGTCTTGCAAGACGGGAAAGACTATATATCTTTTTAATAAATATTACACATATTTAGGCCAGGTACAGGGACTCACGTCTGTAATCCCAGACATTTGGGAGGTCAATTCAGGGAGGATCACTTGAGAGAGAACTCTATCTCTTTGTGAAGTTAAAAAATTAACTGGTTGCAATAGTGCAACCTGTAGCCACAGCTACTTGGGAGACTGAGTTGGGAGGATTGCTTGAGTTCAGTAGTTTGAAGTTACGGTGAACTATGATTATGCCCTTAAATTCCAGCCTGAGTGACAGAGTGAGACTGTGTCTCTTAAAAAAAAATTACTGAGCACCTGCTGGGCACTAATACTGGTGCTGGGAAATACACCTGGAGTATAGGCAGCTGGCCCTCCTCTGACTTGTCTCTGAAGCATCAAACACTTGGCATGTCGGTATCACCCCTTTTCATTTCACTCCTTAATCCGGCTTTTCCTCTAGCCTTTCTCGTCTCTTTAAATGACTCCTCAAGCTACTTACTCAAGTAGCCATAGTCTAGAGGTTATTCTTGGCATCCCTCCTTTTTGTCTTGCCACATCTAGTTCATTGTCAACTTACACCATTTCTATTCCTAAATGTGTCTAGTAGTCTTCCCCTCCTTTCCCTCTGCAGCCCTGGGAACCATTTCTCCTGTTAGGAGGCTCCTTACTGGTGTCCCTTTCTACATTTTTGCTTGTCCCCAACTGATGTTATCTTCTTAACGAATGAATGATTTCTATCAAGGAACACATCTCCTTTGAACATCTTGCTTAGTGTTTATTATTTGTTTGTTTAGTCTCCTTTGTGTTTTATTTCTTTCTTCTCTACATTTTTTGGTTTTTGTCCCAGCAGATTTTCTCCAGCTTTCTAGAAATGGTGAATTCCTCTTATGATGTCAGGCAACAATGACAGCATATAGTGGGTGCTAAACCACTTTCAATCAATGCCAATCGTGAAATGTGATCTAGATTGGATAGTCAGGCCAGTTTCAGGTAGTCAAGTTAGTCCTTAACTTAGTGATTCAGTGTATACATGTTTGGAACAGTCGTTCCAATTTTTGAATGTTAAGAAAGCATTTAAAGTAAGTGACTCATTTATTCTCTTTACACTACAGGACACTTTAATTCTCCTTGCTAGACCATGCACCAAACCCTCTCGTTTTTTCTGGTGACTTTGAACAGCTGCCTTACTGAGGCCCTGGCCTTTTCTTAGGAAGCATCTTCCATCCCTGGGTAGTCAGCTCTGGCCCTTTGTTTCCCAGCCTCTCCAGCTTTCTTAGTTACTCTTGACTCAGACGTAGTCATTCTTCTAAGGTCTTTCTAACTTGCTTCTTTAAAAGTAGAGAACCTTCCGAATTTTTCTCAGGGACTTTCAGTGTTCTGTTTGTTTTGTTTTTTAAGAGAGCCAGCATTTTCCTCTACTTCCCTGTCACCCAGAGTAGTAGCTTACCACAACCTCAGACGCTTGGGCTCAGGCGATCCTCCACTTCAGCCTTCCTGCCCCACCATGCCTGGCTGATTTTTAATTTTTGTAGAGAAAGGATCCTACTCTTGTTCAAACTCATCTCAAACTTCTGGCCTCAAGCAATCCTCTAGCCCTGGCCTTCCAAAGTTCTTTTGGGTGCATAACGCAGTTACAAGAGGGTGTCTACTTAACAAACCAAATACTGTAACCTGGTTGTTTTTACCCTCTCATTAACCTGACATTAAAAAAAAAAAAAAAAAAAAAACAGCAAAAACGACAAAAAAAAGCAAAGTGCTGGGATTAAAAGTACATTCGTAATTTTTGTTTTTGGCCTCTCCGTACCCAGGACAGGTAAGCTGGGTTAGGACCTTGGTTAACGCCTTACAGTGCAGTTTTCAGGGGAAATTTAGATCTGATGTTAATTTTAAGTGTCCTTTTCAGTACCATCCAATTAGAAACCTGGCTATTTATATTTTCCCCGTTTTGTTTAGTAGTATTCTAGGCCACCTCCTCACTGTGTTTGATCTACATTTCTTCAGAACTACGCACAGTGGCATCATGGACGGCCTTTGGCTTTACTTTCTCCTTTGAAATGTGCATTCCTTGTTTAGATTTTGGGGATCAACTGGCCCTTAACTCCTGACCTATCATTCCGTACCCCATAAGATATCTCTGAGAATATGCAGTACAATGGTAGTCTGCCTTCCTGCATACCCACCAAAATGAGAGTTAGGCAGGTAGTGTTGACTCTCATTCATGAGGAAATCAGACATGGCTTAGCCTCATGGCCTCACCTTACCCAGGGCAGGGATTTTTTTTTAGAGACAGTCTTACCCTGTCATCCTGGGTAGAGAGAGTGCCGTGGTGTCATAGTTCACAGCAATCTCCAGCTCTTGGCTTTGGCAATTCTCTTGCCTCAGCCTCCCGAATAGCTGGGACTACAGGCGCCCACCACAATGTCTGCCTATTTTTTGTTGTTATTGCAGTTTGGCCTGGGCTAGGTTTGAACCTACCACCCTCAGCATATGGGCCTGGGGCCCTACTCACTGAGCCATAGGCACTGCCCCAGGGCAGGAACTTTTAAATGTAAAAATGGGCCAGGCAGGATGGCTCATGCATATAATCCCATTACTTTGGGGGGCTGAGGTGGGAGGAGTGCTTGAAACCAGAAGTTTGAGACCAGTTTGGCCTACACAGTGAGACCTAATTTGAAATCAGTTTGGAAAATGTTGTGAGAACCAATTTCTACAAAATGTTTTTTAAAAATGTTGCTGAGTTTGGTGGTATGTACCTCTAGTCCTAGCTTCTCAGGAGGCTGAGGCAAGAAGATTGCTTAAGCCCAGGAGGCTATAGTGAACAATGATCATACCACTGTACTCCAGCCTAGGTGATAAAGCAAGGCTGTCAAAAAAAAAAAAAAAAAAAGGCACAGTAAAATAGGCCATTGGAATATTTGGTCATAAAATCAAGAATCATACAACATAAAAAAAGCTGAGTATAGAAAGCCTTCCTTTCCATTCTAGATAAACCTCATAAATTGGTTACCATTTATTTTATTTTATTTTTATGTATAAATCACATAACATAAAATTTACCAGGGTACACTTTAGGAGTTTTTAGTACATTCATTGTGTTGTGGGTCTTTCCCTGGTGTCTAATTCCAGAACGTTTTCATCATCTCAACCAGTTTCTCTTTTTATTTTGAATTTACATATGTATACATATGATTAGGCTACATTGTTTGTGTTTTCAAGGTGAAGTCCCCACTGTAGTTGAGTCCTTTACTAAGAAGAGGTACCTTATGCCCCTACATTGTACCTGACAGGTGGGAGCTTACTGACCTCCTTCCCTGCTCCCTACTTCTTGAATTTAATTATGTTTTTCTCATATATGGGCCTGTAGTTGTTCTAGTTTCACATTAGTTTTAAGTGCATGGGATGCTTATTTTACCATTTTTTGAGTTACTTTACTAAAGAGAATGTTCTTCACCTACATCTGGGTTAAAACAAAAGATGTAATTCCTCTATCTTTTTATGGCTGAATAGTATTCCATGGTATACATATATCACAGTTTATTAATCCATTCCTGGGTTGATGGGCACATGGGTTGATTCCACATCTTGGCAATTGTAAATTGAGCTGTGATAAACAATATAGTTCAGATATCCTTATGATATAATGATTTTCCCCCCTGGGTATATACCTAGCAGTGGGATTCAGGATCAAATGGAAGGTCTATTTTGAGTTCTTTGAGGATTCTTCATACTTCCGTCCAAAGAAAGTGTATTAGTTTCCCCACCAACAATGTAAAAGCGTTCCTTTCTCTTCACATCCATGCCAGCATCTGCAGCTTTGGGGCTTTGTGATGTGGAGTATTCTCAGTGGGCTTAGTTGATATCTCAAGATGGTTTTGATTTGCATTTCTCTGATGATTAGGGATGATGAGCATTTTTTCATGAGTTTATCGGCCACTCGTCCGCCTTCTTGGGTGAAGGTTTTGTTCCTGTCTCTTTCCCAATAATGAATGGGGTTGTTTGCTTCTCTTGATTAATTTGAGTTCCCTGTAGATTCTGGTTATTAGATTCTTTCCGATTCATAACATGTGAATATCTTCTCCCATTCTGAAGGTCATCTATTTGCTTTGTTGATTGTGTTCTTAGCTGTGCAGAAACATCTTCGTTTGATGAGGAACATTTGTTTATTTTTGTTGTTTCAATTGCCAGTGGGGTCTTCTTCATAAAATCTTTCCCCAGGCCAATGTTGATAAAAGTTTTTCCCCACACTTTCTTGTAGAGTTTTTATAATTTCGTGTCTTATATTTAAATCTTTTATCCAGCATGAGTTGATCTTTGTAAGTGGTGAGAGGTACAGGTCTAGTTTCAGTCTTTTGCATGTGACTAACCAGTTTTCCTAGAACTGTTTTTTAAAAAGAGATCTTTTCCCCTAGTGTATGTTTTTAATTGGTTTATTGAAGATCAAATGGCTATATGAGGCTGGTTTTATCTCTAAATTCTCTATTCTGTTCCATAGATCTGTATCTCTATTTTTGTGACAGTACCATGCTGTTTTTGATTACTATAGACTTGTTTAAACTGAAGTCTTATAATATGATGCCTCCAAATTTGTTTTTATTTCTTAGAATTTCAGTGGACATTTGGTTTTTTTTCTAGTTCCATACAAAATAAAGAGCTATTTTATCAAGTTCTTTGAAATAATGATGTTGGTGCTTTAATGGAGATTGTATTAAATCTATAGATTGTTTAGGGTAGTATAGACATTTTGACAATGTTGATTCTTCAGGCCCATGATCTTGTATGTTCTTCCATTTGTTAATGGCTTCTGCTATTTTTGTTGTTGTTGTTGTTTTGCAGTTTTTGGCCAGGGCTGGGCTCGAACTCACCACCTCTGGCATATGGGGTCAGTGCCCTACTCCTTTGAGCCACAGACGCCACCCTTTTTGCTGGTTTTTATTACAGAAAAAGCTCAAACAGATATAAAATAAAGAGAATAATAGAATAAACACCCCATATATCTTTTGCCCAACTTCAACACATTGATTCATGGCCAGTCTTACTCCATCTGTAGTCACATTCACACCCCACCTCTGACTCTGGATTATTCAGATGCCGCCATATAAATTAAAATAAAAATAGGAACTATATTTGCCCCCATTGAAAAATTTTTTAGACTATAAGGAGGCTTTACTTTGGGTAAACCTACCATATCTAACAGGGTAGCTTGTTGCTGTCAAGAACAAGAAAACTTTTTCTAGAAACTTCAAATAAACTGCTCCTCTTTTCTTACTAGTTCAAATTTGCTTAGGCGTGTTCATCTCAGAACCAACTATGTACTACCATGATGTGACGGGATCACCATAATTGGCTTTAAAAAAAGCGAGGGTGGAATTAATATTAGCAGTGGTCAATATTTGTATATCAATAATTTTACCTTCCAGTACTAGTTTACCCTATCTTCCCCTCAACAAACACAGATTAACATATTCAATAACTGGTCTACAATTCTGCAGTAATTGTCTATAATTCATACTTGGCATTTCAGGCTTCTATAATATTATATAATCTGTCTCATGTCTCTTATGAATTTTTCATCTCCCACCATTACCCTTTGTGAACTCTATACTTCAGTCAAATCATGCGCCTCAAGATGCCCTTCTTTATCATACTCAATCCTAAACCCAGGGCTCTGCCTGCTTAGTCCCATATTTAAAGGGAACTTCTTCCTCCTTCTCCTACATACATATCCTGTTACTATACATAGACCCGAATCCTCTTCCATCTCCAAGGTCTTCTCTGTCTCATGTGGACCATCTCCTCATTCTGACTTGTATTATATCATTCACATTTATACTTTAGTTTTTCTTTTGCATCAAATCATGAATATTCATGTCCTTGAGTTACAAATATCCAATGGAAGTACACTCACCCTTAGGAATGGATGCTGTTACAGGTACTCGGTAAATGTACCTAATCCAACTTACATACAAATTCAACTTAAGAACAAATCTACAGAACCAATCCTGTTCATAACCTGGGAACTGTCTGTAAACTTGTTCAGTGTTTTGTTTCCTCTGCCATTTTACTAATTGCATCCCTTTAAATTAATGCCAATTTTTAGTCCCGATTCAAATCTATTGAGTAATAAGCAAAGATAAGATTTTAGAGCAGTGCTTTTCAACCTGTTGGTTGTGACCCCTTATTAACAATGAAAATACATCCTGTATATCAGATATTTACATTACGATGCATAACAGTAGCAAAATTATAGTTATGAAGTAGCAATGAAAATAATTTTATGGTTGGGGTCATCATAACATGAGGAACTGTATTAAGGGTCGCGGCATTAGGAGGCATTAGGAAGGTTGAGAACCACTGTTTTAGAGGGATCCTGGAGTGGAAAGAATGTTTGTGCTCTATCCTCACACGAGAGTTAGGGACTGCAGCTTCCCTGTTTGTCTGGTTTTAGAATGGATAGTTCTTTAATGGATTAGGCTACTCCAACATTCCTGATTTAAGGTCTTTTGTAGCCAGCGACAGTTTTGATGCCAGTAACATATGTGAATTAAATTGCTTTGCAGGATCCAGCCAGTCCGCTCTGACCCAGTCAGCATGCCAGGGTCATCCCGTCCAGTTTCTGATCGAAGGGGAGTTTCCACAGTGATTGATGCTGCCTCAGGTAGAAAACAAACTCTGCAATGTTTACTGAGCAGTTCCGTGCATTTTAAATTTATTTTCTTGTACAATGTAGAGGATGGTATTTATTTGCCTTCCTCTTTGTTTTTTTGTTTTATAGTTTGTGTGCATGTGTTGTAATAGAGTACTATGCCCATATTTGTTGCTAAACAATGCCATGCTTTTAAACATTCTTAAGGTTGGTGAGTGATGCAGTAGAGTTGGCACTTGATTAAATGTAATGAACATAGTATTGAAGGCTACAGGGTTGATGACTGTGTTTCCTTTGATCACTGAAATGTGGAAAAGCAACCTTGACAGAGAACGTAAATACAATATATGGATTCAATTTACTCAAGCTGTTGAGTATCAAAGTGCCTAATCTGTGGAAGTAGAGAGTCCAAATGCTATAGCTTGAATGGTTTTATTATCGAAAGCATAAACTTTAGAAATTCATTAACTTAACTCTGGTCTGTCTATCACAGTTATTAATTTCTTATCCTTGGAAACAAGCTATGAATATGTATTGTTAGTACCTGGAAGGAGATCTTTGCCTTTATATGTGGCAGTTGGTACCTTGGTATTAGAAAACTGTTTTCAGCCAGGCCTACTAAGTAATAGAACTGTTTGTAATAATGTATTTTCTTATCGCTAAGTTGAGTGATAGACTAAGTGAGAACAGTGATGCCTTGCATTACAGTGAAGCTGGGAAATATCTGAGGATAGCACACTGCAGGATTTCATCTAAATATTCTCTCAAGTAGAATTATTAAATACTTGGCGTTGCTCAAACAGTTGAGTCAGAGAGGATTTTAATCTATGGTGATTTCAAAATCCCTAGACACTGCTGATTTGATTGCGGCTTAAACTGTGAAAGAAAATGGAAACAAATACAAAACTGATTTGTAAAGGTCACTTTTAAAATATCAAAGCTTCTGTTTCTGAGTATGTCTCTGGATATATTTTTAGGTTTTGAAGCAGCTAATGGGTTTTATGCATTATTGTCGCTCTCTGAAGTTTTGTACAGTGGCTCGCCCCTGGCATCTTATTGAGCTTCCCCATCTAGAGCTCTGCCTTTTCTTTGATACAGACTATTAGTTTATTGGACTCTTACTCACTCCTCTCTTTAACTTGGTAACCATGGTTGTCCTCTGGAAACAAATACAAAGATGCGTAGAATCTCTATCCTTGCTTAGCTGCAAGTAACTTAAATAGTAAATTTCAATAGTCTCAATCTTAGAATGTTAAGAGATCATGCTGGTCTGGAATTACACTATCATTCACAGTTAAGAATCCTGGAAACGTTATGTATTTTATTTAAGATTATAAGAGTAGGCCTGATTGCGCTTTTTAACTACCATATTCTTAATATTTTATTCTTAAGTGACTAGCTACCAGGAACACATGTTGCCAAGTGTTACCATGTGTTATTAAAAGGTGACATATTGAATACTATAATCTGCAGTGATACTCCATATTTATCACATGGCAACTTAAGCTCATGCAACGTTGTCTCTGCACCAAGAAGGAATTTCAGTGAGCTGTTGCTTATCTCTGTTGCAGGAAGAGTTTTTAAGTTGGTTTTTGAATAAGGAATTAGGTCTTACATGTAAATAATCTTACGTGTAAGTAATCTTACATAGATTATTAACCTTTCCATTAGAGGTACATTATAGAAGTTCTCCTATATTGTTGTATGGCTTTGAGCCTTTGCCTGAAAGTACCCATCTTTTGAGCAAGGGAAGGACTTCTTAGTGATAAAGCTGTGTTATTATTTCTCTAGGCCTATTTTCATTCCAGAAATCCATGGTTCATTTCTGAAAGACAGCCAGAACAGTGAAACATGTATGCGGCTTTCCTTAGTTTTGAACTAAAGAAGCCCAATAAATGAAGAATTGGAATTTTATGAATAAATCTTTCTTCAGCTACCTCTCAAATGGTTTGGATCCTTTTTGAATGAGGAGTATATGATGTTCAACATGTTTTATGAGTGAATGTTTGTGGTGGAACCTCCACTTACTTCGTCTAATTGGACCGCTGTTGTTATCACAGAATACTTCTCTACTCATATTTTAGAAGGTCAAGGCTAAATTATTTGAGCTTGTTTGCTCTCTTTCCTTTTGTTTTTCTTTTCTCTTCTTTTTTCCTTTCCTTTTCCCTTCGTTCTTCAGGATCTTGCTGTGTTGCCCAAGCTGGTCTCAAACTTCTGGCCCTTCTTTCTTTTGATAGGGTCTCACTGTGTTGCCCAGCCTGGTCTCAGATTCCTGGCCTCATGAGATTGCTCCAACCTGAGCATGCCAAAGTGCTGGGATTACGGGCCTGAGTCAGTGTGTTTGGTCAATTTGAGACACAGTTCATGAAAAAACTCTGTTTTAGATGCTCCTACAGCCATCCCCTGGGTTACAAACAAGATAGGTTCTATAAGTTTGGTTTTAAGTTGAATTTGTATGTATGTTGGAACTGGTACATTACCTATATTACCTGTAATAGCCTCCATTTGTATGTGCAAGTCGTGCATCTGTTGTATGTTTTTAACTTACTATAGTAGCCTTCATTTGTAAGTGAGACTTGTATGTAAGTCAGATGTTTGTAACTTGGGGACTGCCTGTCTTAAAAATAGTCTAATAAGTTTATATAATTGCTCCTGAACCAAGAAATGCTTCTCTGATCATATAACCTATGTATTAAAGTTCTCTGCATATTGGGAAGATGCTTTACCTGGAGGTTTGTTCTGCTGCTTGGAGACATGACCAGTGCAGCACCAACTCTGTCAGGTTCATTACTTGGGTTACTTTCAAGCATTTCTATGACTTCAGATACTGTCTTTTGGCTTATTTCTGTGGCACATGTGATACTTGTTCCTCTGTTTTAATTATAGCTTTAGTTCTTTCTCTCTAACCTGTGGTGGTTTGATTATTTTTTATATGGTTACTTTTCATAGTCCTTCAAGAGTTATAAAGTGAAAATATTTTATTTAAACCTTGGATTGCTAGGGCTTTTGTTTTTCAGATATCTGTTTATTAATCCAACAATGTTAGTCCATTGAAACTAAGAGAGTTGAGCAGAGCATGGTACTGCTTATACCAAGCAATTTCCTTCACAATTTCTTGATCATCTAGAAATCTCTTTCCCAAAGAAATAGTGCCTAAGGGCACAGCAGCTGTATTTCAATGGTTAGGGCACCGACCACATGCACTGGGGCTGGTGGGTTCGAACCCAGCCCGGGCCCGCTAAAAACAAAAATAAGCCAGGAATTGTGGTGGGTACCTGTAGTCCTAGCTATTTGAGAGGCTGAGGCAATAAAATCTCTTGAGCCCACGAGTTTGAGGTTGCTGTGAGCTATGATGCCACAGTACTCTAACCAAGGGCAACGTAGTAAGACTCTGTCTCAAAAAAAAGAAAGAAAGAAAGAAAGAAAGAAATATTGCCTAAGATGCTTTTTGTTTTTGAGACAGGTTCTTACTACCAGGCTGGTCTTGAACTTCTGGACTTAAGTGATCCTCCTGCCTTGGCTTCCTGAGTAGCTGGACTACAGGTGCATGCCATCATGCTTGGCTTAAGATACATACGTTCTACTTGTTAGTTTCAGTGACTGTGACTTGGGCACAGGTAGATTGTCTGTCTATAGATTCCTATGTCCTAGCTTCTCACTGTTCCTATATCAATATATAGATCTTCAGCAGAGCTATAACGAATACGTAGATGTGGTTCCCATAACGTCAGTTTCATCTTACCTTTGGTGATTCAAAAAACACTATCTTACCTAAGATTTGAGAGTTAAATAACTGTGAGATGTTTCCTTCTTGGCTAAGGTGAAGCTCATTCTGAAGTTGGATACTTTATAGGATTTTAACCTAAGACACAGGGTACACAGAACAAATAGGCTTTGCAGCAACTGCTCATTTTTGCCACTTTCACCTGATGGCCAGCAGTGTCTGTGCATCATAGACAGTATTTCTAGCCAAAGCACTCCATCAGTTTCTTAACTATTTTCCTGCACATTCTTTTTGGTTACATTTCTAAGAACTTCTTCCCATTGTTTATGCCTTATAACATGTACCCTCTTTTGCTAAAGATACAGGACTTCTAAAGCCAAAAGATAAAGGTAGTTATCAGTGTCTTGCTTGAGCTTGGTTTTCCAGATTAGTGACTGATGTTTTTGTTCTGAGACCTGGAGGATGGACCTGTTAGATAATATCATGCACTTTTACTTGTTTTTAGTCATCAAACTAAAGAGCCTTCAAAGAAAGATTTGGTTTATCCTGAGTTTGTTAGTTGTGCTTTTACTGTGAAGATTGATATATATTATACTAACAAAGACCTCCAAGCAACTGAGATCGAAGACAAAATTATGTCTGACTTGTATGAAGAGCAGACATTATCATACTCTAATGAAGTAAAAATCTTACAAAGATGCTGCTATGGGATGTGGTGGATGCAGCATTTGTGTATTATGTCTGAGGAAGGTGATAGTGGGAAGACAGTTGGGACAGCTAAGTAAATAACTTTTTATCCTTCAGAGCAGACTTTGACATGTAAGTTACTAGTGTTACATGGAGCATTTCAATAGAGACAGAGTTGCAGAGTTAGTGTTTGCTGTTGCTCTTGACTAAAAAGAAATAATACTTTTGTTGTACAACTGAAGTAATGTAAATAATTAAGAGATAATTTTTGACAGCCTAATTTTTCCCAATATTAAAATAACTTGTTCATAAAGGAAAATTAAACATTTAAAATCCCAGCCTAGGCTGCAGGTAGTGGCTCATACCTGTAATCCTAGAACTCTGGGAGGCCGAAAGTGGAGGATCACTTGAGCTCAGGAGACTGAGACAGGAGGATTGGTTGAACCCAGGAATTTGAGATTGCTATGAGCGAGGCTGATGCCACAGTATTCTAGTCTGGAGTAAAAAAGTGAGACTGTCTCAAAAAAGAAAAAGAAAGAAAGAAGAAAGAAATCCAGCTAGTTTCATTTGATTTTATAATGATCATTTGTGACAATGTGTT